GCTGTCCAAAGAGACTGTAGGATTAGTTGAACTCCTTACAAAAGTGAGAGAGGAATGGGTGAATTTGAATGTCCCAAAATTTGTGCACAGTATTCCTATCCTGCATGGATCGTTTTAGACAACTCAGAACAAAGCTGAACGATGCTTAATGTAACAGAGCAGAAGTTAGTAGGCATGATCCTAATTAACACTGAGCTGCAAAGGGGCCTCCAGGGTATTGAACTAGAAAGACGAATTTACCGGTTTCAGGCCATGCATTAACAAATCACACTGCATCACAGGAGATTTCTGTATGCAACATGACCAGGGAACAGCGTAAAAATGAATGCGCTGTAACAGGACTGGAATGACTGGATCTGATATAAAGTTTAATCTTAATCCATGAGCAGTACAGAAAGGAGTCTAGAGAGATATTGATAATATTTATAAAAGAATTGTTTTCCTTGGTGCCAACGAGTCATGTGCTGTGGGCTGAAGAGTATAGAACATTTCCTGGAATCTTGGCACAATGACAGTAACTGGTTGCTGATGCTGATTGGATGCACTAGCTGTTGGCACGGGATTTATGACTCAGATACCTTGCTTTGGGTGGACCCAAACCCTCAGATTGATCATGACCTCTCTCTAGTCTATATATCTATTTATATATATATAAATTTTATTGATACAGTGATAGCAGATAAGAATAATGCAAACAATTCTATACCCACCAGTCCCAGGATTCACAGAGTCAAGGTACATCTGGTCCGTACACGAGCTTCACTATGAGGTTCTCTCTTGAATGTCAGATGTCAGCAGCCTGGAGGTAGGAGGCTGAGGCCCACCCACCCCCCAGTGGGGTTTGTGAGATGGGCTGGTGGTATGTCCTCTGTCCATAGTGGCCTTGGGTTCCCCTCTTGGGTACCCTTCGCTGCTCTGAAATCCTTCTTTTTGTATTCTTTTTTTCCCACTGATGACTCTTCATATTTGGGCATTATTGATTGATTAACCTGTAGTCGTCATACTGTTCATATTCTGTCCTATCAGCATATTCCTGTTTCACAAGGCCATCACATGCATACATCCTAATTTGAGGTTTACAGGTCTTCTCCTAATTTGGTCCCTCTACCAAAACCAGAAATCCCAAGGGCCCTGCAGTTTGGTCACTGTGACAGGGCCAATGCAGCAGAGTCTCTTGTCTCATGTTATGGAACAGCATGGTACATATCTTCAATTTTCTAGCCTATGTGTGCTTGCTGCTTACCTGTGTCAGACTGTAACATGCTGGGGTCCCAAGGTGGCCGTGACGCCCCCTGGTGGCTCCTCAAACATGCTCTGCTTTGCCCCTAGGGTGCCCCCTCTGTCTCATCCGCCATGTGTTGATGGTATGTATAATAAATAGTGAGGCTGCCCTTCGCTAGGCCTCAGTCACACTGGTCCCAGGCCCTGGCTGGGCCTCTGTAGTCGACTGTGCCCGGCAGGGCACACAAAGCCTTAAGGGCTAATTGCGTAGCTCCAGATCCTTCCCTTTACCATGCCCTATGCCTCACGGGTGTTACAGGTATGTTGTCCCTCTGTTGGGGCTTCAGCCTTCTCAGCCTCTGCCCCTCTAATCTCACTAGGCCTTCTAACCTAGGCCCATTGAAGTTGGGCCTGGCTTTGAGGCACTAGCTTCATTTGTCCATTCCAGTCACTAGGCACCTGGCCCCTGTCTGCCAGGCCCCTGGCCCCTCTGTGGCTGTGCCCTCTCTAGCACCAGGCTGTCCAGCCCCTATAGTTGCTCCCTCTCTTAGCACTAATGAGGCCTCATTTCTACCGCCGGTAGAAACAGTAACGTAACGTAAGAACCCTGGGCTATAACAAAGGAAACAATAGGAGCAGCAGCCCTCTGCTCCTTTAAGAAGGCAAACCTTCTTTCATTCTTAGGCCAACATACCTCCCAGCCTGGCTCCTTGTGAGCTCCTCAGGCCTAAGTCTTCCTGCAAGCAGCAAAGCAGTCTGACCAGTGCCCCTGGGTGCTTCTCCTGGGCAGGAGCTCCTAACCCTACAGCAAGCAGGGCTAGACTGGCTTGCCAGTTCAAGCCCCAGTTGTATATGCACCCAGGGCCCTGCCTGCCTCTGGTCAGCTGACTATCTGCAGGTACTTACTAATTGCTCAGTAGCCTACTGCCCCAGTGACTTGTGGCTGCAGTATCCTGCCTGCCCTGCAGTACTCCCTGGCTAGGCTGCTTCTCCTCTTAAAGTAACAGAGAGCCCAGGGCTCTCTGCTATACAGACACAGTGGGCTTTGAAGGAGACTGTCACAGACTGGCTTTTAGAAATCAGTTAACCCTTGCCATCCCCCTGGACCATAGTTCTAATGCATATCTACTTTACCTACAAGCCAATTCATAGATTCATAGATGTTAGGGTCGGAAGGGACCTCAAAAGATCATCGAGTCCAACCCCCTGCATAGGCATGCTGGGTTTAGATGACCCCAGCTAGATGCCTATCTAACCTCCTCTTGAAGACCCCCAGGGGGGTAGGGGAGAGCACCACCTCCCTCGGGAGCGCATTCCAGACTTCGGCCACTCTAACTGTGAAGAAGTTCTTCCTAATGTCTAGTCTAAATCTGCTCTCTGCTAGCTTATGGCCATTATTTCTTATAACCCCCAGGGGCGCCTTGGTGAGTAAAGCCTCACCAGTTCCCTTCTGTGCCCCCATGATGAACTTATAGGCAGCCACAAGGTCGCCTCTCAAAAAGCAAACCTCTAAATAGCATTTTCTAGCCATCACTAGCAAGGCCAGATGCTTGGAGCTTAGAACTGAAAATTTGTACCAAGCAGTGGGGTACTGTTCAAAAGCCAAAGAAATATGACTGGGTTCTTGAAAGTTCTGAAGCACTTAACACAGTGGGCACAGGTGAATACTTCTGCTACTTTGCCATCTTCCCTTTCTTATCCAGGACCAGCCAAAACCCAGTTTGGGCCCTGGCACAAGAAGTTCAAGATGCTCTGAATTTCATCATAGCATCAGAGCCTCCAAGAACTGTGGTGTCAGTGCAAGTTACTATAGCAAAGTAGTTACCATAGATGTGTTCCTAATAAACCCTCTACCAACAATTATTCTATGCCATCAGGGGAACATAGATTGAAGTAGATGAGTGTCTCCATTCGGAGTCAATCTTCACCTTTCTCATTATGTTAGTTTTAAAGCTGCTCAAGCTTTGGGGGTCTTCAAGAGGAGGCTGGGGGTCTTCAAGAGGAGGTAGGGGGTCTTCAAGAGGAGGTTAGATAACCATCTAGCTGGGGTCATCTAGACCCAGTTTCCTGCCTATGCAGGGGGTCGGACTCGATGATCTATTGAGGTCCCTTCCAACCCTAACATCTATGAATCTATGAATCTTCATGCTGTTCTGGCAGTGAATCATAGATTCATAGAAAAGTAGGACTAGAATGGACCTTCAGAGGTCATCTAGTCCAGTGCCCTCTCCAGAGGCAGGAACACCCCTATCCAAACCATCCTATGCAAATCTGTTGTCTAACCTATTAGTAAAACTACAGTCAACCCCAATACAACCACATAGCATAACACCCTAATCTACCACAGATAAAGCAGGGGAACAAGGGTGGCCAGTATCTTGCTGCTGCAAAAGTTGTTAAAATATGTTTGAAAGATCCAAAGAGGGCCGCC